CGAATGAATAGCAAATACCTATGAGAATTACTGTTACTGCAAATCTGTTTTTTCAGAGGCAAAACATCTTTGAATAGAACTCCGGTAACGCATACCCCAGTACAGTAAGCTTTTTCGTTCAGAATTACTATGAGATAGAATATAATTACCTGGTTAGTCATCAGCTTACAGTTGTATACACTTACTTACATGATACTTGAACGGCCCGTCCTCACTGGATGTGTGGGCCCCAGCACGACCACCATTTTTCGGATATTTGCTGGTTAGGTCATTGTGGTTTCCTGGGATTCCGAGGTCAGCCTGGCCAAATTCTGCCCCGGGTCTTCACCATCACGAGCAGTCGCAGCTCTTGTGGAGCACAGGGAAATTTGCCAGCATGCGATTTTGATACTTGGACCGTGGTGGATCTCGGTACTCGTTTACTCTTAGCTAGGCTTCGTGATGGAAACGCCGAACTCCTCAGCCAGGGAGACCCTGCCGGAAGGACGAATTCCCCCGCTGTACAAACATCGCAGTCCGAGACCCAGGAACACCTCTCATCAACGATTAGGCGGTAAACCGTTGGGTGGAGTTCTATACATTACCTCAAATTTCTAGGAACTATTGGTTAATGAAATAGTGACGCGATCTAGACAGCTATTACAAAATACCCAACTATTAAAACTACTAAAGAACTTCAAATCCACCACTTATTAAATGCATTGTTGAATGAACTATGAAAGTTATTCAGGAACTACAACTTCAAAGAACTGCAAGAATAAACACCGAAATCTGTCACTATTAGCCCTTATCTGTAATTTTCAATATAATATGCACTCTTCCTTTCAGGAATCGTAAGAATACTGTGTCTCCTAACGAACGTGCGAATCCTCTTCAAGCCTTTGAAAAAGATAAAGAATCATAGGAAGAATAAGAATAAAGGATTATATAGGCATTCAGATCAAATACATGTTTGAACATCGAGTACTCGAATATGCTCGCTCTACGCACTTTGTTATCTTAATTTCCAAAATCTCTTTCTGGATTGTCGGTTGAATATACCTCATCTTCAAAGTGTAAAATAATTGCATTTACATTGTGTTGAACGGACTCAGAACTGCATGGAACCAGATTAGCGAGACATTTGTTGGTAGATGTCCTATAAGAAAAGATATATGCTAATCCATATTACCTATTTATTCTGTAATAGCAGATCTATGATCGAAACACGAATAGTAGTTCACAAACGATCAACGTTAAAGTTTCCAGCGCCGATGAACAGCCCTTTAAAGAAGCACTGTGCAACCCACCTCATCAAGTACGGCTAAAACTAATTAAATGCATATCTGGCCTACACAATGACTTTCGTGGCCTTCCGATGCAATAGTAAGTGATGTTATCCTCTCAGACAAGTTTGGTATTAATTTGCCGACTTCGGAAAGATGCGAGGCTTGGGTAACCCGAAGCGCGGGACAGAATCAATGACCACGTGCATGTTGGAAGCCGCTTCTTGCCACTGTGTTACAGGTGTCAGTAACTGTTTAAAATCTGTTAAGTTGCTTCTATTCATGGTATGTCGCAAGACATGATGAAAAACGCTGCTTATACAAACTTTATCCGGTGGTTGAACTTGTCAAAAGAGATCGTACAGAAGTTCCCAAATGTGACAAAATATTCTGTACTGTTTAGTGGGATACAATGTATGGTACCAAACCTTTCAAATTATGAACAAAAGGTGGATACACATGCAAAGCAAATAGCAATGAGACTTCCACGAAAACCACAGTGTCTCAGTGTCCATTACCCTCATGAAAATCAGTGGTCATTACCCTCATGGATGGCTTACCGGAAGAAGGAAAGCAGCTAACACTGATAAATAGTATGTGAACTCACTACTAGTTGAGAAGTTGACCATGAGGAAAACCAATTTTAATAAAGCACCAAAGAAATAGAAACTTGTGTTTACTAAGCAGATCACCCGTCATACACTAAGGAAAGGTCAATTGAAAAAAAAGATAAAGCTCTCGTGTTAATCAACCCATGAGGGATGCCCCATGCATTCGACTTCATTAAGCATAGCTTGGAGGCGATTGAACGCATATCTGGCCTTTATAATGATTCGCAGTGACCGGCCGATATATCGAGCCAGTGCTACTATCTTCCCAGACAAGTTTGGCACCAATGTGATAGGAGGGATAACCCCGGAGGGATAGGAGGCTTTGTGGACCATGAGCGCGGAGACCGATTCCGCTCGCGTATCGCAGGGTGCTCCCGACCACTGCACCACACGCGTCCTTCAAAGCACAGCTACTATTATTAGCTCTAGATGTAAGGAATTATCTTGACTTTATGATGTAAATTTGCTGGGATACATTCTAAACAGGTGAAAACAAAATGAAACCTATGTAACAAATATTTCTTCCTATACAACTTCAACAACTACCAAAAAACTTGCTAATTGTGTAAGATGCGGAATACAAAGTCGTATGTAAAGATTGAAGATTTAATGTTGCGGAACCGTAATTCCATTGTAAATTCTGAACAAACAATGTGTGCTGTCAAGGTTGAAAACTGTGGTCACCACTGAGTACACAAAAAGCGTTGATTGTAGAAGTTGGAGATTGGAAAGAAATTAGCCATACGCAACCCATTCCTTCCAGCTTGCCCCAAAACGCATAACTCATTTATGACTCATTTCTTCGCCAATCTGTTTACATTGGCATATTCGCCGTAAATGCCCAAATTTATAAAATGGGGAGGAGAATATAAAAATAACAAGCTTCTTTTTCTGATGCCATTCTAAAGAAGAAGTGCGAAATCTGCCGAAACAGTTCAGCTTCAAGAACTATTTATCATAGTGTTCTTCTACTCTATCATATACAGAAAACGCGACAATGTACAAAGGATCAGGTCTAGCCAAATGGTTTACATACTTCAGAAATGGAAACACATCCTTTTCGCGATATACTATAGCCATTGCATTGATTGTTGGAGGACATCGAAGTACCTGGATAATGATACTCTATTATTAAGAACACATGTATAACAAATCTCGAGACCGACTTTTTTAAACCTCGGCATTGATTGATATTTCGCTGTCTTTCTTGATCAACAAACACGACGTTGGTATTACAGCACTTATTAACACAGACGTTTCGGCAGTTTGGCCTTCTTCAGAGCCGTTTTGTTCTCGAGCTTGACGTAGGTGAAGAATGTGCCTGACTCATGTCATAGAATTCCCGCCCATGTAATGCTCTGTGCGGCTGGTCTCCACCGAATAACTAGAATACTTACAAAGAACAAAACGGCTCTGAGAAGGCGAAATCACTGAAAGTCAGCTATTCTTCACTAATAAGTTTTGTAATACCAACCTTGTGATTGCTCATTAAGAAAGACAGTGAAGTCTAACACTGAATAAAGTGAGCCATACGTTATCAAATGAAAGAAAATCTCAAGACTGAAGCTCGAAGATAAAATTCCTGCTCTGATCAGCTGCAGTTCCTTCTCACTATCCTGATGTATAGAACAATCCTCGTTAAACATCAATATTGTAAATAAGGTAAACAACCAGTTTAAGTTGTTTACATCAAACGCACTGGTTCTTCAGCGTCCTTCCTAATGTAAACTATCTGACCACCGGCATCCTCAGTCCACTGAGATTTTCCAAAACAAAACTAAAATGATATATCATAGAGAGGCATAAAGGAAACTGAGGATTTCTATAGCATAATGGATTCAAGATTTTGCTCATTAATCAACTACACTCCTTGAATTCACAGGCAAATCATATACATAACACTAGAATGTTGTTGAACACAGATCTTACCCAAAAATCACAAGAGTCTCCACTTTTCAGGAACTGTTCAGCATCTTCGTCACCAAGAATAGTATAGCATCCAGGTGTGAGGCGAAAAATCTGTACCGTAGCGACAGGATCTGAAATTAAACAGTAATAAAAGCTTTGAAAACGGATATCCTTCATAACGGGATCTTTTGGTGGTTTGCCGCGAAGCAACATTGATACACACTCATGTATTGGTGGGTGTGCTCTCGTCTCATGCAGACTGAATTCTCGAGTGAATTCGGCCAAAACCCTACAATTACGGAACTGGAATGTATGTGGGAGGCGATTAATTGCCTTCTCCAACAAATAAGAGCCTCGTCTATTCTACTCACGTTCACAGCTCAGTAAGCTATATGTGGCTATCGAACGCTAAACACAGTAACATATGCGATACTCGTTCCCTGACCCCAAAAGTGTCCACAACACGGCAGCGCTGGGTAGGACGAGTACGGATAGCATGCTAAAATCTCGGAGCCATTTTAGATTGTCTAAATCTCGAAGGACTGACGATTTGTACCTACAATGCACACTCACCTGCATCTGATTCCTCGATGGAGAACTCGATCATGCAGACCAGAACGGTAATGTGCCATGTCATTGGACTTGCTAAGGCGAGAAGACCCCACCCATACAACGCCGTCTATGATACAGGAGAAGAACTCTTTCTTGCAACATGTGACCATAGAAGAGTGGGCAGTGTTGGCGTTCTCATCAATAGGAGTTTGACCACGAACAGTGGAATGCCTACGGTTGAACAGATGTAGATCAATCAAAACCTACTTCGACAACCTTCGTCTGCTACACATAGGCATCAAGCTATCGGGAAACGATGTCAAAGCGTGGGCCCGCTCGAGTCACTCAACGATCATCGAGACGACAGGTGATACAGGTGAAACGATTTCAAAAACAAGTAAGAAGATGATATCCTGAGAGGCCCACCATTGTACTGCAGTCGAGTTAACTCTTTTAAAAAGTTCATCATTGTTTGTGAGCGAACAGCTTCTATAAATTTGGCAACACATCCACCAGCTGTGAAGTCCTCGAATTCTAACTCTGCAATCCACCTGAATATATTATCAATTAACCAAGAAATGCCCAAATTTCGAATACATCGCGTCTCAACACAAATTTCTAAATCTGTCTTCTTGAAAAATTCGTCATATAATAATCCAATTTATCAACAAGCACTTGAACACCACATGAACTTGTTAGTTAGATATAAAGTTTTACAGGAGAGTTTCAAAACTTGTTGCAACACGAACCTTTTATTCACAGGACCTTTCTCAACCCAATCAGCAGAATCAAGCTCCTCTATCATCTGAGCGTTAAATTTTTCCTAGAAACACTACCATTTTGACAAGAAAACAAATAATCGAGAGTATAATCTTTGGACTCAACTTTATAGTAAAAACAATACTTGAAAGCAGAAATGTCTTTAGAAATCTGTTCGAGAAAAGTTTTAATAAAAAATTTCATTCACCTGAAAAGCACTTCTAACCAATAACTCTTTCTCGGCCTCAAAAACTTCTCCCATACTCGTTTTAGACTTCTCTCCAATAATTCGTGGGTTGAATATATAGGAAATATCAACTTCCTAAAAAAGAAAACATTGGAAAGAGGTATCAACAGTGCGATCGCTGTACTACTCCTAACGTTTCCTTTGAATTTACTGACGGTAGAATGAAATGCTCTTTCCAACGGTTTACCGCCTCATCGTGGTTGGGTGGTGCTTGTGGGTGTTGGACTGCGATGTAGACTGGGGAATTCATCATCACAGCAGTGTCTCCCAAGCTGTGAAGAAGGCCGGCGTATCCATCAGGAAACCCAGCTAATAGTAAACCAATACCAGAGTTGACCAGCGTCCAGATATCAAACTACTCGCATGGTGGCAAATCTTCTTCTGATTCACAATAGCGGCGAGTGACTGTGGTGGTGACGACCCGGAACAGACTTTGGCTAAGCTGACCTCGAAACTCTAGGGAATCACAGTGACAAAATCAGCAAAACTCTGAAAAAATGGAAGTGATGCTAGGGCCCACACAACTAATGATGGCCCGTCCAAGTAACCAAGTAGGCAAGTAAGCAAGAATGAAATGTCAGGGGAAAAATCACTCTTGTTCCTTTTTTGAAGAAAATACTCGTTAAAAGAACTCAATGATTGGGAGCACCCACATGTTTTGGTGAGATACGTGGGAGAATTAAGGCCGACTGTACACGCGGTTTGATACGCTGACTGGAATGAAACCAGCCATTGATAGAAAGCCGTGGATCGTTATCTTCTCCTAATACTTCCGCAACAGAATGCCAAGAGCTAAACCTCAGACAACTATTCAAAGTGTGATATAATATTAGACACTGAGTAATATAACTATTGAGCTTACCGGTCAGATACCTCAAAAAGTAATAACGAGTTTCTATATGGAAGAAGAGAGGTAAAAATTGTTGTTGGTTCACAGTCTTCTGAAACAACATCAAAGAGAACAGTTGGAGCCTACCTATAACTAATCAATAATGTTTCTACCCATCCTACTTTTTTACGACTTATCAATTCAAGCGTTTCATTGTGAACAACCGAATAAACTCTAGAGATCCATTCCACATTTTTGACACATTATACCGTTGCTATTGTAGATGTTTGTCTGTCCACCAAAAGATTCTTCCCATGGTTCTTGTGTAATGTAATAAACGAATGCAAATCGTCTATCGTCAACCTGGAAGAGCAGTTCAGAGGGTGCTAAACTAAACGGTAGCAAGGAAGTATAACTTTCATGAACTTAACTCATCGGAATGAGGAAGAAGATGGTCAGTGGAAGCATAGCAACTTCCAGTTGCATCAACTTGAGACAAAAGCTTGACACCACTAACATTTTCCAACCAGGTGCGGACTTTGTCGCACAAAAAATTCCTAAAGAAACTATAATCGCCATATATATGGTTTCGGACCTTAATTCCTTAGCACAAACTAGAAATAAGACTTCATACGCTTGTTGAGAAAACACGAGGTGTTACTTCATTTTAATTGACGGAAAAGTTGACGTTTGGGCGGATTTCGCCTTCCTTGGGACCTAGAAAGTCAAGTTGACTACAATCTACTCAGCCAAACACCGCAACCAAACAGAGAAAGTGTTTAAAATCTGGAAATTTAAAATCTTGGTTAAGTAAACTTTATCTAAACTATATACTATATCTATTCAAATTCCTTGTTTTTTTAAATCTTGGTTCTCTGTTTGGTTATGGAGGTGTATGACTCAGTAGATTGTAGTCAAGTTGACCTCTCCAGGTTCTAAGGAAGGCGAAATCCGCCGAAACGTCAGCTTTTCCGTCAATAAAGAACAAAAGTACACCTCGTGATTGCTCAACAAGAATATAAAGAATCATTGTATCAAAGCTGAGGTTAACAGAAAATCGGTTTTGCGAATTAAAATCAAGACCGGTTACCATAATCCGTTGACCTTTACACACTATCTTAAGTCTGCAGGTTTGTTCAAAAAGTGTTTAGAAAATTAAGAGGAATCGCAAAATAAGTGATGAAAAGTACCGGAAATCGACGATAGCAGGTTGTTCAGCTTTATCGATTGTTTGTAGATCAGGAGTTTGAAACAAAGAGTACAAGTCGTTCTCTTTGCGATTCCACGACGGATAACTGATGAGTTCAGCTTCGATTCGCTCTAACACCGACGAATCAACGTGAAGAAAATCACGAAGCTGCCAATGTGGGAATGGACGTTTGTCTTAACCACTCAATAAATATGATCGGACATTTTGTAATCATAAAATAATCACAAATTCAAACACTCAACACCAACAAACATATTCCTGACGCTGTTGAATTAGATCCTCCCAACAGTTTACCGCCTCAACGTGGCTGGGAGGTGTTCTTAGGTGTCGAGTTACGAAGTACAAGGGGAATTCGTCTCTCTGGCAGGGTCTCCCAAGCTGAGAAGGACTCCAACCTTCCATTCAGAAACCCAGCTAAGAGCAAACCAGAACAAGGAATCACCACCGTCCTGGTATCAAACTACTGCATGCTGGCAAATCTCCCTCTAATATAAGAGGGCAGTGAACGCCTGGTGCTGTGACAACCTAGAGGAGGCTTTGGCTTGGCTGACCTTGGGACTCCAGAGAACCACGATGGCTAAGCCGGCAAAACTCCGAAAAAATGGAGACTATGCTAGGATCTGCACAATCAATAAGGACGGACCATCCTAATATCCAAATAAGAAGACTTAGACATTTGATATTTACGAGGTAACTAACACCAAACTGCTTAAAACGCTTGGATCACATAGAAGTATAACGAGCTACCCTAACACCTAAAGCAAACGGAAGGTAAAGGTCCCGTCGTTGATCAATCCCTAAGGGGATGCGGCACCTGGAAGTAATTCAATGCACATCTGGCTTTTACAACGACTCGCGGTGGCCTACCGATGTATCGAGCCAGTCCTGCTATCCTCCCAAACAAGTCAGGTACCAATTTGTCGAACCCGGAAAGATGGAAGGTTTGGTGAGCCTAGACCGCGTGGATCGATCCCATGTGTACTGCAGTGCGCCTTCCACCACTGCGCTAAAGCGACCTCTCACCAATGGCTACTTCTAAAAACTCTCTCCCTTAAACAATAAACAAACTCGGCAAAACTTCTATAATGCTGAGATATTTGCAAAACTCCGGAGCGCAGGTGTCTGCGGTGGGGAACGAACGCGATATTGTCCTTTCCGGGGAGTAACGCGTTCACCACCACACCATGCGAGTCCTTCGTTTCGCCTGTCTCTCAGGAAAAGGATCGATAGAACTAGCTGAGAAACAGAACGACGGAACGAAGGACCCGCATGGTGTGGTGGTGAACGCGTTACTCCCCGGAAAGGACAATAGCGCGTTCGTTCTCCACCGCAGACACCTGCGGTCCGAAGTTTTGCAAATATCGCAGCACTATAGAAGTCACATTTTGAAACATACCCTACCGTTAAAAAAATAGGCAGTAAATAAAAAGGTTAAAACTCAGTAAACTTCAAAAGGCATAACAATGAAAATGAAACATCCGAAGTAAATTTACCTTCAAGTTCAGCGCGAAACACTTCGGCAAAGGTAGAATCGGTATAAATCGGATTGATGAGGAAGCGAGGTGGTTCGAGTCGGGGCCGCTTCAATGTCCCAACGCTTCCAGAAGTGGTGCATTTCTCATGTGTCTTCACCATTTACTTTTTTCTATGTTTTCCTTAAAAACAGGCAACTCTAACACGTCGTGTTCAGAAAAAAATAAAAATATATGACAAAACTGCCATGTATTAAAACAATACACATCTCATATAAACTTATATGCAATCGATTTCACAAGTAAAGGACGAACACGAGGAAATAACTCAAGAGATCTTTAGGACCGATATACCCGACAACTACATATAGGCGTTATTCATATTGTAGTATGTGTGGTCCACACAATGTTCTTCGGACGCCTACGGTTATGTAGCTCTTCAGCATTGGCGTAATGGCTCGGTTGGAAACATGGCGAACTACATGTTTAGTCCTTAATGTATTAATATCCATACGATGAATTGTTGGGAAACAATGTAAAAGGATTACGTTTTCAGTATAAAAAATCGTGTGGAATTGTGTTTTTGGGGTATGGATAGCACAGTAGTAGTGATGCTCATCATCACGATAACGGTGCTGGTTCGATCCTGCTCCAAGCTCATCAAGCCCGGTCACCTCTCCGGGATAGGATACCGGACTTGTGGGGAAAAAAATTGCTCTCTGCAATCCAAGTAGGAACGCTCTGGCACGGCTATCTCAGGGCTTCAGTGAGAATCGACTAAACCAGCATTCTACGTCATTCAAGATGAAATGAAATTGTTCAGGCAGTAACCTAAGCCACACGTAAAAGTTGTAAGATCTATGTGGATGACGGATGCGAGGAAATGAATGTGAGAAGTGCTAGGATCCGCACAGTAGATGTGAAGACGGGTCGAATAAAATGGTATGCAAAGGATGAAGGGATAAAGCTCTTAGCGTTGATCAATCCCTGAGAGATGCGTCATGCATTCGATTTCATTAAGAATCGTTTGGAGGTGACTGAATGCATATCTGGCCTTTACAATAACTCGCGGTGGCGTACCGATATATCGAGCCAGCGCTGCTATCCTCCCAGACAAGTCTGGTACCATTTGCTGACCCCGGAGACATGGAGGGCTTGATGGGCCATGGGCGCAGAGATCGATTCCACGTGTGTATTGCAGTGGCACCTCGCCTCCAACCACTACGCCACACGCGCCCATCATAAAAGAATATGAAATAAAAAAAATGAATAATCTTACCCTTTTTATTTACTGCTTACTATAATTTTTAACGGCACGGAAAACGAAAGACCCGCATAGTGTGGTGGCGAACGCGTTACTTCCCGGAAAGGACAATAGTGCATTCGTTCCCCACCGCAGACACCTGCGGTCTAGAGTTTTGCCAATATCTCAGCATTAAAACATGAACAAATAACTTTTTTATTGAGATGGCTTGGTTGAATTATTCTCAATGTTAACTGTACATCCATCTACTGGTATAGGAGCGTATTTCACAGGTATATCCTTAGTTATTCCTACTAATGGTTTGCTCTCCAGTAGTGGCTATAGGTGTTCTAAGGTGTCGAACTATGTTATGTAGTATGGACTGATGGTCTCTGTATAGTGGACCACAGCAGTGTTATGTAAACTCTCAAGGAACTAGATTTTCATTCATAAGCCCAACTAAGAGTAAACCTATATTACTACGGAGCGTAGATGAGCTGACAGTGACTTTCTTCTAAATGAAAAGTAGGAAGAAACCATACTACAAAGTTGTGATACTCTTGGCGTTCATTGCGCGATCAAGGTCTTCTAGGTAACTCCGCTGCGTGATGAGGACGAATGCAGAGTGCTGAAGCTAGACCGAGTTACTGGATGATTAGTAGTATTACAGATATCATACGCACGCCTAGCAACTAGTAGTTGGTGTTCTAAGAACCTCCCATCGAAAGTCCACACTACTTCTGGCAATAAGCAAAGCCTCACTCAAAAGGAAGGAGACGAAAACTGAATATATGCGATAATGAATGGTCAACGATCGTAGCTGGGAGGCTGTCCTGGGTCTCGTGCTGCAATGTAAAGAGGGGAATTCATCCTCCTGGATGCGTTTCCCAAACTGAGGAGTCCGGTGTGTGTTTTCAAAAAGAAGCTCAGATAAGAGTAAACCAATGTCAGGATCCGTCATCGTCCTGGTACCAAACTAGTGACATAGTGGCAAATATCTCTTTTATCCGCGAAGGGGTCGACTGCCGGTGGTGGTGACGACTTGGGGCAGACTTTGGCCTGTCCGACTTCGGAGTCCTCGGATTGAACAATGGCTGGACCAGCAAAACTCCGAAATAATGGAGATCATACTGGGGCCTGCTCAACGAGTGAGAATGGGACATCCAAGTACCCCATTATGTTGTATTCCCATATTTTCCCACAGGTAGTAATGAATGGTCAATTAAGCATTCACAACGAAAAAGACGAAATTAGGGTTCATGAAGTGATGAAAGAGTGATGAAACAATGGACATCGTTCACTTTGGACAAACGCAGAGTGAAAAGTTGATTTGAAAAATTTCCAAAACTCGACCACGAAGATGAAAGAGACCGTGGATGTCCTGCTATTGAAAACTATAAATTAAAAAGTTTGATAGAAGCAAATATATGGGCTAAGATGAAGTAGCATGCTAGCGCCGTGGTTAGTGGTCCCGTCGATCAGGAAGGAGGCAGAGTTCAATCTTTTCCAAAGCTTCCTCGGTTGCACGTGAGAACGCCTTCACTCGGCTATTCTCAAGATTGCAAGGCGAATCGGCTGGCCTACCGCTCTGCGACATTCATAAAAAGAAGGCAAAATCATCAAGCAGGAGTCGAAACAGCACGGGAAATGTTCGAGGACCACAATGTTTATTCAAACCCTCGATTTACCTTTCCGTGGGCTAACGTGTTACCCACTTCACAACTGAGTCCCTGATTTGCCTTTTTCTCAGTCAGTTTTTACCCTAACGGTGCGGGGTCTGGCGTGGGATCTGGGTTTCCCAAATATCTCAGCACGATCATGGTTGTGTTTCACATAATACATTGCCTTGAAAAAATAATACACCATGGATAAAAAAGTTATACATTGTTGAAAGACCATTATATACGATGAATGCGAGCAAAACGAATCGAATGCAGAAAGTGCTGGGATCCGCATGGTGGATATGATAACTGATTATGGAAAATAGAATGAAACAGGAGGAACGTTGGCACAGTGGTCGGAGGCGCCCTACAACACACAAGTGGAATTGATCTCCGCGCCTATGGCCCACCAAGCCTTCCATCCCTCCGAGGTCGGCAAATTGGTACCAAACTCGTCTGAGAGGATGGTAGCACTGGCTCGATACATACTGCGCAAGGCCACGGCGAGTCATTCTAAAAGCTAGATGTGCATTCAATCACCTCCAACGATAGTTAATGAAGTCTAATGCACGGCGCATCCCCTCAGGGATTGATCAACGCGAGAGCTTTATCCTCTATCCTTTATTAGTGTACACACAATCTGTAAAGTCGTCGAAAAAGAAATTAGTTTACGCAGAAACGTTCGATAAGAATGTACTTCTCAAAAACAGAATGAGTTGACTAAAAATTAGTGTAAATAAATAATTTCAAAGCAGTGTGATTGGATATTTGACCTACAGTATGATGATGTCAATGGATAGCATTCGGTATGCGCTATTAATATGTAGTTGTTAACTTAATAGACTCATTTGAGTCACGAGCGAGCACTCCCTCCCTCAAAGTAGCAGATCGCTCTCATGGGTTTCCTTTCCTTTTTCGTGAGCTCGATGCTGATGCTGGGATCCCGGTTTACGTAGAGTTATGACCAGTTGTTAGGCTCTTGAGCTGAAGCGTCGTTCTCTGCATCATTGGTGTGCTCCGAAAAAATGACAATGTCGTCGAAAGAGCGAAGGTCCCATGAGAATCAGCTTATGTCCACTTGGTCCTGAAGTCACTTCTCTTCCGTCGTAATTTGTTGCTGACGAGCGTTGACCGAATCGAATATCCGGACACCTTTCAGCTCAGTAATGGAAGAGGTCGATGGTTTTAATGTGGTTCTGTGAGGCTGCTACTCCTTTGTCGATAGTTTCTATGTTGTAAAACGCTTTTTCAAAGTAAATAGTGTTTAAAAGAAGACTGAGGTGATATACCGAATGGCCAGTTTGTTCCGAAATTCAACATTATGCAAGCTGCTTGGCAACCATCAATAGAATATATATCTATTATATGTCGGTCTCAGGCAATAAATAACTTCATCACCTGTATCATCTGTAGGGACACGTGTAGCGCAGTGGTCAGAGGTGCCCTGCAATAAACACGGGATCGATCTCCGCACCCCAGGATCACCAAGCCTTCCATCCCTCCAGAGTTGGCAAATTGGTGCCTATCATACTTGTTTGGGGGATAGCAGCACTATCTCGTTACGTCGGTAGGCCGCCGCCAGTCATTGTAAAGGCCAGATATGATATTCAATCGCCTACATCGATGCTTAATGAAATCGAGCGTATGGTGCATCCCTCAGGGATTGATCAACGCCAAAATAATTTCATGGTCTAATGATTTATTAGCACAGAAAGCATACTCATCAAAACAATTGCTCAGAAGCTCTGCTTTTAGACTTCTTTACGCATTGCCTTCGCGAAACCGATGCGCTTCTGACCGAAATCGTGGATGTTACAATAGGTGCGAATCCAAGCTTCGCCCAATATCCAGTCCATACGCAAACTTCCGGATGGAATCTCGAAGAAGGCAAGAACACACTGAAAATTGTATAATTTCCGGGCACCAAGTAAAGAAAGGATTGAGAGTCTTAAAAGTCATGAACGATACGCAAATTTACTACGTTTCCTTTATGAGCTAACGACTAATGACCACTAATAGGTTCTGCGTCTGCGGTGGATCACTCATCACTCACCTGTCCGTCTCCAACACCAATACCGAGTACGTATTCTTCGGGCGGTATATTGTACTTCACACTGTTGATAGTGAACACCAGGTCAGGTTGAGTCTTCATTGTTGAGCAGTCGACGGTGTAGAACTTGTTCAATGAGTCATAGTGAGCACCGGTCTGGTTAGCTACTGCTTCTATGATTTCGGTTGGTGCACCGATCCACGAGGTACCAGTGCTGGAAACTGCCTGAAAAGATCCAGTGAAAATTTCGATTGTATCAGTGCATTCCGCGAGCAATGTAGGGTAAATAGCCAATCTATGCAATCATTTAATCGAAGTGCACCTTCGAAACAGCTCTCTTCGTGTATGATATTTAGTATTCAAACAATGCGCGTCATTTTATAGGGAAACTGACTCAGCAAATGTAGTCTTCTCTGCTTTGTCCTAGTCATAAACCTGAATAAGGCTCTCCCTAGAATTTATTGTGAGCGGCTTTTCGGCTCGTTTGCCTTCTTCTTCGACTCGAATCGAGTGGAGCAGAGCACCGTACAAATTGCAGAAGCACCACGACGTTAGACAAGTCAAAAATCTATTAGAAACCGGTGCAAACAAGGTAATAAAGTATGATGTTTACTTTTTATTCTAAGGTTGTGTGAATGTTATTTTTGAAAGTATTTATCCGTCTTTTTCAAACAAGTAGTCTCTATGGGTTTACTTTTCAGAAAGAAATGTTATAGTTGGCTATTTCTCATGACGTAGGCGAGCCAATGTAACTTTCCGTCCATGGGCATCGCCATTGTAAACTATAATCACCTTCATTTATCGAATAAATTCAGTAACTGGAATAAAACTGTTTATTTTGCTTATCGTACCTGTGCGCTTTTGCTCGTCGAAAAGCTCCCAATAGAAAAACCTTCAATAGGAAACTGCCAATATGCTTCTTTCGAGAGTGGGACGTAGTTGATTTCCGACTCACAGTTGACGGCATCGATAGCACCGAATGTGATCAGACCGGCGTTCCCGACTTTCGTAGCGTCCTAAAAGAGATTTTTCTCAACCAACAATTTTGTTTCATGTGATAGACAGGCTTCAGTTCAACTATGAGTAAATCTAATAGTACGCGATCTTCATTTCAGCCACCATAAAATTCATAAAAAAAAACATGAAAATGGGGAGTAAAAGATTCCATAAAAACTCTCATGTTCCTGAACAACACGAAAAGAATTTGTCGTGGACACTGTTATAATCACCTCAGCGATCTACATTCGTGTTAATCACAGGGTACCTCGAAAGGAAGCCCGCAATGTCTACGTTCGACTCCTTCGCACTCCAAATATTCAGTGTTGTTCGCCTGTTCAAGGAACACGAAATTCCTTTTTTAAATCGCATTATTTATGCTGTTTCTGAAGAAGAAGTAGGCAAATCTGGCAACTGCTGCTTGCTAGCAAACGTAACTGAAAAACTATTTTAGTTCTCGTTTTGCTTTAGAAATAAAACCCTAACTGAGCATTGCAGTTAGACACCATGGAAAACAATGATGAAGCGGTAAGCTAGAAACATTATGTACTCTGAAAAACTCCTAAATTCTTGGGTTTTGCAAATACAACTAGAATTTCCACGAAGGATAACCTTTGTATTGGTCAAAACATGAGTGCTTATGAACGGTCAGCACTTCTTTGGTGGTGCCACCAAACCGATATCAAATATTTTTTGCGTGTTCTTTAATGACTTTTAAAGTTACTGGTTCCAAAAAGGAAAAAAACTCAACTTGTGGGAGTTAAATGAACAAAGCAGGGAACCATGGTGAACAAAAACTTTCGCCTTTTAATGCAATTCAGTCGAATGGTTTTTTCCAGTTGTTCTTCCTAACCAGATAATGCTTTGGCCGAAAACAGGTAGTTGCAATTTCTATGGCCGACTTTCTATTAACCTCGGCATTGATGAATAATTCGCTGTTTTCATGATTAGCAGGTTTGCATTTTTCAGAGTCTGGAATGGCCAAGTTAACCGCAACCTAGTCAACCAAACACCTCCATGACCTCGAGAAAAAAACCACGATACCTAATCTTCGATCGCGTTGAAAGCGAAATAGCTACTTTGTACGCTCACCGCACTGCATGACCTTTCCAGTGAGTATTCCACGTACAGAGCTCACATGGAAAGTTAAGGAGCCCCTCTCACGTTAAAGTATCAGTTTCAGATGTTGCGTAGGAAGACGCGTGCTTGCGATGCATTCCTATATTCCATTTTTGGCTTTTTTGGAATTTGCCCTGAATGCTCAGTAGTTTTACGTGCTGAAGTTTTAGATTCCTTTGCTATGATGGTTAATTTTTCTTCAAAACATTCCCCAAATGTGTCTGTGCTCGAAGCGCGCCGAGTATTTGTTTAGCTCTACGCTTCCCTTCTAGGAGTTCTGTAATACCGACACATGGTGGTCCACTGGGTTGAGCGGCTGTATTCGCCCCCGTACTCTTTACAAGAGATAAGACAAACCGAACCCGAACTTGTGCAATCAGTATCCTCGCTGTTACGTCAAATTGTGCGTTTTTGTTTTGGGCATGGACGGTCATACACGCGATTACAAACTTGTTGGCGTATTAGAGTGTTCGGTGGTAAATAAGTCATTGTTACCAATTTCTACAAACTAACACTTTTTAAGCAACGTCTTATGACTTCCTTATTTTTTTAAAAATAAAGAGCAGGACAAATGGGATCTCGTTCTGGTTAAACATATCGCTGGCCGCGTCGTCTTTCGCCCAAACCTATCCTGAAAGGCTAATGTTTCGTGTCAATTTAAAGTGGCTATTTGCTGCGCCAATTTCAAGGATTCCTCCTTCTTCTCCCTTCCTGTGCACACAACTATCTTGTAAAATATGTTTCTCAAAAGCGCCCTTTTTGTGTGGGAAGGGTGAGAGGAGAGGTAATGAATCAGTATATGTTCGCTACTTGGGTTTCGGTACCAACTGGTGATGTAGCCGTTTTCGGATAGGTTTATTCGCATTTTCAGAAATGTAAGGCAGTTTTCTTTCTGTTTCCCTCTGGTAAACTTAGTAAACTCTGACTGTTCACTTAGCAACTCTAAAACAATCTTTTTTATATCTACAGTAGAGTAATGTCTGGATATTGACTACTGGAGCTTCTCTTTTAGATCAAACTGCGATGGCAAGACTAGCTGTCACTCGCTTGCCAACGTTCTTAGATGTACAAAGTAGTTCCTGGACCATCCGAGAATTGAGCAATTTAGGCACCCCCTTAAGAGAGTCACCAGCTGTCATATATGTCATTTCAACATATATCTTGCAAGTACAAGGTCCCGTTTATCGTGCCATTCGCTTCCAACAAAAAATATGCAGAGCTATAGAACCTTGCTAAAAGAGGTCGGATCTAGAGAAATCGGTACTAGTGATTGGTTCAGCACCGAACACTCTAAGATGGCAGCTGGTTTGTAACCGTTTGTATGACCCTCTATTCACAATGCAAAATTGCACAGTTTGTCCTAATGCTAGAGAGGGCGATTTCATGAGTTCCAATTTTGTTTCCGATGTGATAGAAAATTAGGCACTGTGGTTTTTTTCAGGATTGTGAAGGCCTTTGCCTGATATTGCGCTTGACGTGACCTTTTCAGGACCTGAAGAAGACCAAATCCTCCGACTCGTCGGTCATTGTGAATAAATAATATATGATAACACCTAACAAGTATTTTTTTAAAACTTAATGTGTGGTTGAAAATATGGTGGAGGATAGAGCTGTGTTCTATGTTTATCACATTTTCTAATCTGTCTCACCTTTTTGTCCATCCAAATGGTGAAGAGAGGAGCGTCGAGGCTCGAGAGAATATTCTGTAGAGGTGGAGTAACCTAAAATACTCGACAGTTCGTTCTGATACATTTTTATTTTCAGCTATGAAGAACGAAATTGTCTTGCTCTCGGAAGGTCCGAAATTCACCTCGCCTACGGTGATCGCTGGCCAACCAAGCCCAAGAATGCCGTCAATTGGCATGAAGAAGAAGGCGCCGTCGGCTTCCGTTACATGAATAAACTCTTGATTTTCGATCATCGCACCTGTAACGACCATATCAACCACTACTTCTCAGACTCTTTACTGATAAACTGGGACAGCAACCTGGTTGAAGTACTGGAATAACCGTCACTATGTGGATGGAAAATTAGGAAATCAGTACGGCGATTGCACGAAAACCATAAGAGAAATGTAAACCGTCAAAATCGAAGTGAAAATTCTATTTTTCTATAAAATTGATAAGACGTTAAAATAAGATTATTCGAGTCACGGATTGTAAAAGTAATGAATTCCTATATCACTGTAATCGTGCACTTTGATTTCATTCAAGTGAACTGTAATATCTAGATGGTTACCAGCGAAGGAGACAGCGTCTTTTCCGACGGGTCCGCTACATGATCCAGCTCCATATGAAAGACTGATCTGCTTCCGTTGCCTAGTGAACGTTGACGATGTCCTGGTGTTAAATCTGCGTCTAGTAAAGCCACTGCCAGGAACACCTATGCAACCGAATGACCTGCACGTGATGTCGAATATCCAGAGATTGGCCGAACCGGTGTCTACCAGCAGTGACATGTTTTGGCCTGAAGTTAACGTTGTATATTTTAGGTAAATTTATTTTCGTGTAAGGATAACTGTGAATGGCGTAGTGGATTGGAACATTCACAAGAGAAATTGATTTACAGCCCACTATTTATTTTCCCCACCAAAAAACTTCGCTAAGCGCACAGCAACCTGGGGTGCAGCAATTTACAAAGCAAAAATATAAAAAGTGAAAGGCAATAATGGTTTTTGAGATGGTTCTTTTTCCCAAAATGTATTTCAAGATCGTACAGCGGGTAATCGATCGAATTCTCAATCACTATTGAAACAACAACATCAAGGTTGGTGAGGATGAACAAAATGACCTTGGTTGAGCTTTGAATTACCTAATCCACTTACCGGGATCTCAAATGATATCAATTACACCATTTTCGTCCTTTGCGAGACCTTTCTCTCGCTAGCTTTTTTACCCTAATGATGCTAACAGCAATAATCCGTTAACGGGACTGGTCTGAAGAGCACAAATCGGCCTTAAACCCAGTTAAGCAGATGTTGAAGTCGAAATCACAATTTTTTAAACTTTTATCTTGTGTTTGTTGTCTTTTCACCAAACGGTTTACCGCCTCATCGCGGCTGGGAGGTGTTGCCGAGTGTCGGACTGCGGTGTACAGCGGAGGGATTCGTCTCCCCGACAGAGTCTCCCAAGCTAACTCCGGTGTTTCCATCAGGAAGCCTTGCTAAGAGTAAACCAATAACTGGACCCACCACCGTCCTGGTATCAAAGTCGTATGGTGGCAAATCTCCCTCTGATCCACAAGGGCTGGGAGTGCCAATAATGGTGAAGACCTAGAGCAGACTTTGGCCAGGCTGACCTCGGAATTCCAGGGAGCCACAGCGGCCCAACCAGCAAATCTCCAAAAATTGTAGATTATGCTGGGGCACGCGCAACTAGTGAGGAAGGGTCGTTCAAGTATCGAGTAAGTAAGCTTGTTCTCTTCATGGATTTTGTTTTTGGCAGTACAATTGATGACGAATTTCTCGACATTATATTCTCAAACCTGGAGTTCCAATTGTGATATTTCCGAGATAGAGATCATCGTAGTAGTCGCGAAACCGAACGAACTGCTTCCTGGGCGCTTGGTCGTAGGCTGTCTCCTGCATCGATTGATAATTTTGATTCATCCCGTTCCTAAATTATTACGGAAAATTTTACTTTTTGTTTCACCGTGCAAAAAACTGTTTATTAGACAGTCGTTCAATTTTTGTTAATTTCGTTAAACTTCGTGCACTGTTCTTTAAGAATCGTGTTTGCGCACACATACGTAGTATTCTTAGCCTCTGTGTGATGGCACACTACCAGCAAATTCAGTAGAAAGTAAATAGCGAACGTGACATGAAGCGTGAGATAGCATGTTCATTGTCGACATATGTGAAGAAAATCCATTCCCAGTAACCAGTTTCAAATAAAGCCACGCAGCTTATCCAGCTTGCTGGAACAAGAAATGCAAACTAACTGTATGACCATGCTTGCTAAGCCAGTAGAAATAATGGGTACCATTTTACGGACCACTGTTATAAAAGCATTTTCCGAAGTGATTCTAGGGATACCCTGAAAACTTGTGGGTGCTTTTATGATTTCAAACTGGAAAGATCACCGTAACCGACCGTATCGACAAACAGGTTAGGATCGGAAGTCTTCTGTGAGGACCTAATGATGCCATCTATAAAGATCTAATAAGTTGTCATCAGATTAACTGGGACATTAAGAGACTGCAAGAGACAGGTCGCTTCTAAGAGTGAAGGTGAACTGGTGCCCAGTATGGATTAATGAAGAAGCGGACGTGATGTTCTCGTTAAGAACAGCTTTATTATTAAAGTCGGTATGGTTAAAGTGTTACAGAAATCAGTACGATTGTACGGTCCACGTGGATCTACTTCCAATAAATCACTCCTTTTACCCATGTGCGAGCCATAAGTTCCAACGATGATGACATCGCGATTTTGGGTGGACCACCAAAAGCAGCTAACACAAAAAGTTATTGTTTCCACTTTTGACGAGTAAGTCTAACAGTGGAGAACGCTACGACAAACTATCCGATGTCAAATAGAAATGGTGGCGCTGTCGTACGTTCACTATAGGATAGGTCATTTGCCTCCTCCGCACAACATTCATTTTCCGCAAAACAGGGAAGTGCAAAAATCCAGCAGCTAAAAACGGTAGACGACGTCGAGTTTTTAAAGTAGTTTTGGTAACAGTGTGGTGCTATTGTAGGTTCAGGTTCAATCGAGCTTTTTTTGAAAGACTAAAATTTTAATTTGCTTTCAGGTCTTACTTCATGACACGTGCTTTGAGCGATCCAGTTGAGCGAAGCACCATCTCGTACTTCTTGGCGTGAACAATGATCGAGATCGCAACGAAAACGAAGGCTTTCATTGCTAGAATATAAGATTTCAAACGTGCTTTATAAAAGTGAAACAACAGAACTCGATATAAAGGTGAGAATAGGGATTTGTCAAGGAATTTTGCTCACAGTATTCGACCAATTGTCACGTCTGGGTGTTAATGACATCTGGTTATCAGATTAAATGCAGTTAATGCTTCTGTTAAAAGAAACCACGTTCACTTCTAGAACCAGCTTTGGTTGAGCTTGATGAATCAACTTTCGACGTCTTGCTTCGTTATGAAACAGTAGGCTGTTTTTGAAGACTTTGTACTCGATCTGTCGCTGTTACCTCTATTTTCGGATTCATATCGAGTTTGGTTCGATCCTGCACAGGCGAATCAGCGAGTTTTCCATGCCTCAGGGGTCGGCAAATTGATTCCAGCCTTGTTTCGGAAGATGGTGGTGTATAGGCCAGACGTACTTTCACTCATCTTCAACGATGCTTGGTCGCATGGAGCACTCCTCAGGAGTTGACTAACCCTGGATACCATCCTTTACCTTCACACAAAGTCGAATTGCGCGCAACATCACACAACTGAATTGACAGCAGCAGCCCAAAAAGATGAATTTCGGGATTGCCAACTCATGGTACTGCAATGAAATTGGCTATAGGAGGCGCCTAAAACCACGACATCGAAATAAATTTTATTTGTTCGTTAGAGTCTTCCTTTGAATCGAGACACCGCTACAAACGGCGTTATTATCGAAACACTGACAAAATCCTCAAAACTAACAAGTATTGTCTTATAAACCTTTCAGGCTAACTAACATGGGATTGCCACGACCGACTTTCTATTAACCTCGGCATTGATCAAGTGACAATACTAACATGGGATTGTCAGCACGTGTTTTGATAGTCTTGTTGAAAAAAAAAGGCCGAATTATTTCTTACAGGGCAATATTTGATTTGGTTTGTGAGTTAGGTTTTCATTAAGATTAAAGAATACAACGTATTGCCTGATTTGTAAAAATGGGACTATTCAGCGATACATCTGGTCTATGAAGGGAGCAAAGTCGCCAAAACCTTGGCTACTACATATCAGGAGTAAGTGCTAATCTCGTACCATTCAGCTCGAAAAAGGCGAGTTCGTAAAACAATACAAGAATTAATGGAAAGGCTCCTGACATCAAATATATCACATCATGAGGAATCCACCACTACTTGCATTCTATTCTCTTCCTCGCATCTGCCATCCGCAAAGGTCTTCCAATTTTTTTTTTGGTGTAGTTTCGGTTGCCGCTCGAGGATCTTCTAGTCTTCGGCGCTAATATTCTTAAATCGAGTTGATTCGCCCTGCAACCTTGAAATAGCAGCGCAAGCGCATTCTTACATAGATTCGAGGGACTGAGCCTACCTGAGATAAATCTGGTGTCAATTTCTCGACTCTGAAGCAATGAGAGGCTTAGCGGGTCCATGTAGGGTAAAACCAATTCCGTGCTCGTAGTGATCGGTATCACTACCACTGTGTTACCTTTTCCTACATATATGTACTATCACCTTTTTACAAAATTTGGTGCGGATGGGCTTTATTTCTAAAATGCAATTTCCGAAAAGGGGTTCTTTTATACATTGGATGTATACTATTTGAACCAAGATCTCTGTAAGATATAGTCATTTCTACGCCTCGCAAAATTAGCTTGATCGAAACTTGTGGGATGTGAAGCAGGAAATCAGTTGGTATAATTGTAACCGAGATGTTTTTCTGTCATGTCAGTCAAAAGACCATAAAAGAGAAAGAGCTGTTAGTGGCCGTCGCCCAACTTTTCAGTGAGAGGCATTAGGAAATTTTTCGTGAGAGAAGTTTATGCTGAAGAGATGAGAATTAATTTGGCCATACGATGATGGATGGAGTCAGGTAGAACAGTATTGGTTTTTATAGGGTTTCCAACACAAAGTTCGCTATTGGAGGAGTACCTCCGCCCTCGTACTTAATCCACCGTTTTGGTGGGCGTTTTAGAATTGATCATCGTGGTAAAAAGCAATGCCACTAACTTAGCTGTGTTCATCGTTCAAAAGACCAGCTTTCTACGAACCTCAGCATAAACAGTTGATATATTTGTTTGTACGGTCTTAGAAACTGATCTTTTTGAGCTGATGCTAGGCTGGTGTAGGTCTTCGTTGTTGTTGTTGTTGTCGTTGCTGTTGGTGTTGCTGGCCGATGGCTGACGGTTCGGCACTTTCGTCTTCCTCGGACGGTGCTGTTGAGAGTGGGACTCACTTTTAAAACCCATACCAACCTCGGATCAACTCAAATCGACCAGTTTTTAAGATCATATAAATAAATATGTTCATCGTGTCTTATGTATAATCAATACCTGCAATTATATACTAAGTTGTAACACATGAAATGTCAGATTTTAAACGTAAAATTTAAATAACGATAACTTTTTTCGTACTAAATCTTATTAATCGAAGTACACAGCATTAAAATCAGTACGTTTTTTTTTAACGAGAAGTACGCCTATTTACTCCAGTCGCCTAAAATTCTGAAAGCGATAAATTCGTGGAAGGCATCTCGCGAACGAAGTTGTCAATATGCTTGAAGAAGTGATAGCCAGTAGGCGACAGGTCTGATGAATATGGCGGATAAGACAAAGTTTCATAGCCCAACTCGTTCAACTTGTGCAGCGCTGGTTCCGCAACGTGAGGCCGTGCATTCCCGTGGAGAAGGATTGGCCCTTTCATGTTGATTAATTCCACTCGTTGTTGTTGGAGTTTACGGTGCATTTCGTCGATTTGTTGGCAGTGCTTTTCTGGAGTGATCGTTTCGCGCGGATTCAAAAAACTGTGATAAATCAGCTCTGCTGCAGACCACCAAACAGTTACCATAACCTTTTTCGACTTTGGGAAATGATGCGGAGCCTGATAGAATCCAATTATTGAGCTAAATGTCGCCGGCTGCCGTGCAGAACCCACTTCTCGTCGCACGTCACAATCCGATCAAGGTCGTTTTTGTTGCCCAGAACAAGAGCATACGACATTTCGAGAAGACGAATTTTTTGATTATCCTTTAATTCGTGCGGCTCCCACATGTCGAGTTTATTGTCTTTCCTATGCGATTCCAGTGAGTAGGAATTGTTCCTGTACTTACTCAAGTTCATTGGGACGTCTGCAGTCTTCCCTAACTTCGAGGTCGAAATCACCAGATTGGGATATCCTAAACCATTTTTGCATTGTTGATTTATGAGCTCTACCTTCACCCTAAACTTGATGATTTTCCGAGCTCCTGCCGCGGTATTATGTCCACTCTTCCACCCGTACAAAAAAAGAACACGAAAATCAAATTAATTCATACCAAACATACCAAATATTCATATTCTTTACGCATGCTTAATAAAACAAGTTTATAAAAACGTCAAGATTGTAAATCTTAAAAAGGTAAAAAGAAAACGAATTTTCAAAATATATATTAAGCATGCGTAAAGAATAGAATTCCCGTCTTAAAAAATTACACGAAACTCAAAACAATAAAATCGGACATTTCATATGTTACAGCCTAATAGTTATTCAACTGTGGCACCAGTAAAGTCGCCTTGTAGGTCTGTGAGGTGCCAAAGTTGCTTTTTTAAAGCCTTATAAAGGTCCTTGCTAGGCAGTACTAAGTTTAGAATCCAAATTCTAGCTTGTGGATTTTGCCCTTAGCTACTCATCGGCGTTGTTTTTGTATTCAACAAGCTAGATGTATAACACTGGCGATTTTTTTGAAGCATTCCAAATGATGTGGTTGTATTCCAAAGAGTAATTTGAAATACTTGGATGTGAACAAGTGGCATATACTACCATCAGACTCTAAGCCGATGGTGCATCTTGCATCATCTGTCTGTTAAAATTGTCCTCAGAAACATTTTAGCAAGCAGGAAAGGAAAGCGCTGAGACAAAGTCGCAGTGAATATTGTTGGATGTGTATATTCCTGAATGAATAAGTCTTTTTGTAAGGAAACATAGCAGTTAATAGCATTTTGAATGCGAAAAGGTTTAATCGTTGTGCTGTAGTAAAAAAAGGGATTATTTATGCATGAGTGCAAAAGTTCGTGATCATCAGTCGCTTTAGACTGTGATTACACCCAAGCGGGGAGCCATGGTTGGTTATTACAAGTATGACTCGTGGTCACATTAATCTTTGTGTGACTCGGGATTAGAGCACTTACGTCATAAATCGCCTCTGTCCTAAGTCAGTACTAACCAGTAGAATTCCATTGGTTAAGGGGTATGCACAGCGTTTCATATGATACCAACTACCTTTGTCGTTTTTAGTGAAAATATGGATAACTTAAAGTTAGGACACCTTTTCTAATCATTATAAAACAAATATAGATTGAAAGCAATCCCAAAATTTTTACCATTCACTTCACATTCTCCTTATTGCAAGGTTTCGTTGGAACAACGGACGTGTAGGATTTAACTCAAATACTCACAAAAAACACGTATATATGATCGACGAGCTTACAAGATATTTGTAGTGATTTTTGCGCAGTAGTAAGGTCATATCAAGGCATAACTTTAACTTTTTAAACATAATTTACGCCAACTACTCTTTTCCTGGCTGAAAGAAAGGCAAGACGAGCGCCACAGTGGTGCAGTAGGTAACATGTAAGCTCCTATAAAGCGTAATCGAAAGTTCGAATCTGGCATGCAGTCTGGGTTTTGCCTCATTATCTCAGCAATTATTGTAACGCCATTCGTTCATTTAGCCTGCATGGCAGCACAATTAAATGGTCGCCTTTGGTTAACGCTGAGTGCTTGCTACCAGTTGCAGCCTTACCTACCATGTAAAATAAGCAGTTCGAAATCTGTTGAAATCTTCAAACTGGTTCCTTTGTTTTTCCGGGAATGAAGAATGAGAATTTGGACGGACGTGATTTGTGCACATCGGCACAGCTTTTTGGTTGACCATGATTTCCTCTAAATTGGTAGTTGCAGAGAATCGTATTTCTCAAAGTCCAGTCGAAGACATTGCATCTCTTGTGAAACGCAGTGGAATTTTCACCG